TGAGATTTTCGGATGGAAATGTAGCCCAAGCCAAGCTCTACACTTTTTACAAAGGCACAAAGGTAGGAGATCACTCAAACTAGATCAAACCCTAGAGAGAAGTTGAAGTTTTAGAGTGAGGTGCTCTCCAAGGGAGGTTTTAAAATGTTATAGAGAGAAAGGAAGTTGAAAAGTGATCCAAAAGGTCAAAATTCGGATTGATATAAAAGTCTCCCCGCTCGAGCGTGGAACTCCCCGCTCGAGCGTCAGACACAAACTAAAATAGAGTACTAACTCAAATACATATTAAGCCCTTGGCTTGAGATTATATGTAATACATCAAAATTAAAACAACAAAAGAATCCCCCTGCCTCTAGCCTCCTAAGCTACGTCCTTGGAGGTGGCATGCTACCTGTACCCCATACGTATGTAAATGTGAAGATGGGTTTACTGTAAATGTAAATGTGAAGATACGTATTAAATTATTTACATACGTATTAATTATAAATTTTTATAAATTATTTTTGAATAATACATACGTATTATAAAATGTGAAGATGGGTTTACTGTAAAAAATTTTAAATAAAAAATGTAAAGATTTAAATAATACATACGTATTATAAATTATTTTTGATTATAAAAATTGTAAAAATTATTTTTGATTATAAAAATTTTCAATCATCCATAACCTAAAAATGATTTATATTTACGAAAATTATAAAAATTATATAATTGATTATTATAAATTATTATTATATATAAAAATTATATTATTTCAATGCTTTAGTGTTGTGGGTGTGTGTGGGTGTCTCTGTATGTCAGAATGTGGATTGGTCTTGGTTCAACAGTAGAAACGTTATTTGAAATAACATTTTCTATAAAAAAAAAAAAAAAATTATATGCACAGTAAAAACGCGATATAAAATAGCGTTTCTTTTAGAAAATTTTTTTTAGGTTAAAAGTGCGATTTGAAATAGCGATTTCTTAATTAAAAGCGCGTTTTGCAATAACGCTTTCACTATTCATTAAATTTTAGACTCTAAATAGTGAAAATTCGATTTGTAATAGCGCTTAGCCTAATTTAAAAAATCTGTCTAAACTAAACTTAATTTGAAAAATAAGATACAAAAGAGGCTTAATATAAGAAAAGCCCCCGAGATTGTAACAAACGTGGAATCCCAGTGCTACTCCAAACACCACACGCAAGAGAAGAGCGTAGAAACCAAAGAAAAGCAAAGCCGCAAAGAAAATGGGTACTAGTAGTCTCGTACCAGTGATTGATCTGCAAGACTTTCCATCTCAATCCCAGAAACTAATCGATGCGAGCCAAGAATGGGGTTGCTTCAGGATCATCAATCACCAGATCCCCACAACTCTGATGTCAGATATGAAGTCGGTGGTGAGGTCTCTTCTCGATCTTCCGCCGGAAATCAAACGCCGGAACACCGACGTCATCGCCGGAAGTGGGTACGTGGCGCCGAGCAAGGTTAATCCTCTATATGAAGGGTTGGGTCTCTATGACATTGGATCCACTCATGCTGTTCTTGATTTTTGCTCTCAGCTCGATGCTTCTCCTCAACAAAGGTGCTTCATTTCTCTCTCTCTCTCTCTCTCTCTAGAGAATTTGAAATGAAATTGAATTGTGGGGTGATTTGATTTTAAGCGATTTGTCTTTGAAATTAGCTATAAACTGATCACCGGATGATGAGTGATTTTGGATAATCCACTCTAATCTGTGGACTCGGTAAATCTATTTCTGGGCTTCTATGAATTTCGAGAAAATTGGTTTAGTTTGAGAATCATGATTTAAGAATTATGGAGATGTGTTTTGAATTTGTAAGTTATTGAATCATGATTTAAGAGAAGGAAATGTTTTTGATTAGGAGTTTTGAAATTAAAAAAGTTATTTGGTTTTGAAATAAGAAAAATGATTTGGATATTAATTTTAAAATGAGTTTTTATAATTTAATTTAAAAACTTATAACTCATAATCAAATATATAATTCAAAATTTTATTTAAAATTTATAATTAATTTTTTTTTAAAATTTAATTAAAAAAATAATTATTGAAAAAAAATAAGGTTTTTATTTACAAAATTTAAAAATTCAAAAAATATTTTTTATTTAAAATATTAGAAAATATATATTATTTTTTCTTAAAAAAATATTCAGTGTTTTAAAATTATTTTTGATTGGAATTTTTTTTAATTATTTTGTTTAACAATATTTTTTTATTTTTTAAAAATTACTGTGACCAATTAATTTTTATTTAATTTTTTTGTTAATTTTAAATAAATTGCCAAATAATTTGTCATTTGGTCTAAAAAAATAATTTCTATATTTTAAAAATATCAAAAATAAATATGATTTTTTTTCTTCCAAATAACAGTCAATTGTAAAAAAAAAAAATAAAAATAAAAAAATGTTCCGATCTACCGACCAAACGTATGGGAGGATGTTTGGGCGAATGACCGGATAGACCAAAAAATTAAAAAACAAAACTGTCCAAAAGGATGTCCGAGCATATGACTTGGTAGATCCAATTTTAAATTTCAAAAACTCACTTACCAAACATGTTTTGAAAAGAATTTTCAAACATGAGTGTAAAATCAATTTTTTAAAACTATATCCAAACATATATGGAATTATGATTCCACCCTAAACCAAACACAGCCTATGAAGCATACCTTTCAACATGTACAAATAGTATCACTTCGTTTTAATTTTTTGAGTTATAATTTATAAAAATATCTATATATCATGACTACATGTAACATGAGTTTTAACTGACGAAATCATCATTACTAAAATAATATTATAACGAAAAATAATTAATCATAATTAAATAAGAAAATTACGTGAGTAGGGGTGTCTATAGGGGTGCATATGGTACATTTTTTTCGAAGGAGTTGTATATTAAAATTTTCCGTGAAGTTCATATCCCAACTTTAGAACCTTAGAAAATTTGAGGCGATTGACGCTCAATATGAAAAAAATTAGGGCCATTTGATAACTTTTTCTTTTTATTTTGTCACAAGTATAATTTAAAAAATATATATATATGTGCCTGTTTGGCAGAAATTATTTACAGCTTATTTCAGCTTTCAGCTTAATTTAAGCTATTTTGATGTGTTTGGTTTAGCTTATAGCTTATAGCTTTGTGGAAGTCAGAAATCAACTTATTCTTTGAGTGGGGCAGGAGATGCTTTAAGAATATGCTGGAAATCAGCTTAAGCTGAAAGTTATAAGCTATAAGCTGTTTAGGCATAAGTTATAAGTACTTTCCCACAGTTCTACCAAACAGGGCTTATATATATATATATATATGTTACAAACATGATAAAATAAAAATGGGGTATTTTAAAAAGAAAAAGAAAAAGGCTTGACCCTTAATTTTGTTAATTTAGACCTTAATTTTTTAATTTGTTTTCAATTTAAACAATTTATCAATTTCCGTTAAGTAATAGTATCTCCAGCGCTTACACTTTTTTTTTTCCTGTCAAATTTGAGTATAGATTTGGGTTAAAAGCTTCATTTGGTACCAAGTGTTCTAACGCCAAATTTTTAATTTTCATCAAACCACTAATCGACTGAGAGGATGACCAGATAGTCATCTGGCCTAGTGTAAATTTTCTTCAAATTTTTTTCCAATCTAGTCATCCACCAATGTTTACCTACGAGAAATGAAAAGTTAATTGCTCCCTTAATTTGATGGAAAAAGTGGGTTCCCTTCATTTGATACCTTTGGTGAAACGGTTGGAATACCGTTTTTATCAAATTTTTATTCAATCTAAATTTGATGAAAGATTTGAGTCTTGGTTGGAGATAGTTTAAAACTAATGAAAGAAAAAAAATATTTTAGTCCTTAAACTCAATAAAAATTTGATATTTTGAACAATTTGTATACATTTACATTTAATTATTGAAGTATTATTTTTTTGTCGGTTTTACCTAACAAAATAGGTTGGTGGTTTAGATTGAAAATAAATTAAAAAATTAGGCTTTAAATTGATAAAATAAAAAATTTTAGATTTGTTTTGTTACATTATCAATCTTTGAGTAGTTTTTTTTATTTATTTATGTAATTTTCCCAATAAAAATGTCAGTAGTGAGCCTTTAGTTTTTTCAAATTCTCTCAAGTTGCGATGTGGTTCTCCACCCTTGTGAAAATGATATAACAGTAGGCTTGAATCCGACTGACATATGGATCACTGATTGGTTTATTTTGCAACAAAATCTTCATTTGATTATACATTCACCATCTAACATCCTTGTATAAAACTATTTAGTAATCGATACCAACTCTTTGAATATATAAAAAATCAATACCAACTCTTGTTTCGACTACAACTTTCTATTTCTTTTGGGGTTGTGATTTAGATTGGGATGCAAATTATGTATTTCTTGATTTGATTAGCATGATATTATTATAGGGACACAATACTGAGGTATTCTCAGTCTATACACAAACTAGCCATGGACATTGGGAACAAATTAGCTCAAAGTATGGGTTTGGCCAGTGATTTGTTTATGGGTTGGCCCTGCCAATTGAGGATTAACAAATACAGCTTCACCCCTGAAACTCTCGGATCATCCGGGGTTCAAATCCACACAGACTCTGCATTTCTTACCATATTACAGGATGATGAAAACGTGGGCGGTCTTGAAGTGATGGACAAGAAGTCCGGTGAATTTGTTCCGGTTGATCCCATGCCCGGCACCCTCCTTGTCAATCTTGGAGACTTTGCTACGGTTGGTAACACTTTCTTATGTCTGTTTGGCTTCTAGAAAAATTCATGATTTTTTTGTCAGTCTTGAGAACAAAACATTTTTATATTGCACTTCATATACCTATACTTTCGCAAATTCTACTTTGATATTCAATTTTCAATCCTAAGAGCTATTTCAGTCAAGTTGCAAGGCCCTTCTGTTAGTTTGGTTTTTAATTATCAGGTTAATGTTGGCCCCGTTTGGTAGAGTTGTGAGAAAGTGATTATAGCTTATAGTTCAACAGCTTATAGTTTATAACTGTGAATATAAGCTGATTTTTGACTTATAAATTAAGCTTCTCCTCTCCCACTTAAAGAATAAGTTGATTTTTGAATTACAAAAAGTTATAAGCTGTATTGTTAAATTGAATCAAACACATTAAAATAGCTTAAATTAAGTTAACAACTGAAATAAACTAGAAATAAGCTCTACCAAACAGGGCCATTGTCATGTGGCCCTCACATATGACATTTTTCAGAGTAAAAATATAATTTCTTCATATTTTTTTTTTCTTCTTCTTCTCTATTTTCCATGATATTTTGTCTCTATTGTATTTTTGAAACCCACCACCCCCTACTACCCATGGTTGGGCGGCAGTGAGAAATGGGTGGGGGAGTAGCAAGAAAGGGATGATTGGTGGTGATTGTGGGTATAGAAAATACATTAAATAGAGAAGATAATGTGAAAATAAAAAAATAAAAAAATAGAGAGGTAGAAAAAGAGAGCAATTACATTTTTGCCTTTAAAAATGCCTCATGTGAAGGTTATGTGACAATTTTCATTAGCAATTTAACACCAAACTAATGAAAGAGCCACGTTATAATTTGACTGAAAGTGTAAAGAATTGATTATTACAATTTAAAAAATGAGAAATTAAAGTCTGAGGTGTCGTTTGGGAATATACTATTTTTGTAATTTTTTAGTTTTTTATGAAAAGATGTGTAGAAAAATAGAGAGAGTGATGTGGCAATTTATAGTAACTTTTTGGCTAAAATGTATAATTGGCAAACGAGGCCGATTGGATGTAAACTAGAAGGGTGCAAAATGTAATCCTTTTTTTTTCCCTACTCTCTTTTGTATCGGTTATTTTGTTAAAGTCGGATTTGATTGATACATTCACCAATGTGTCAAAGGTGTGGAGCAATGGAAGATTTTACAATGTGAAGCACAGAGTGCAGTGCAAGGAAGCCACGATACGACTGTCAATTGCTTTGTTCGTCTTAGGACCAAAGGAGGCTCCACTGGAAGCGCCACCAGAGCTAGTAGATAGTGAAAACCACCCTCGGCTCTATGTTCCAATCCATTTTGAAGATTACAGAAAGCTCCGGCTTTCCACTGGTTTGAGAGCTGGTGAGCTCTTGACAAGTTATCTGCAAGCAATGTTCCATTTTGACTAGAAGACTAGGGTGGCCTATTGCCGGCCGCAATTGCGTGTGAAATGACAGAAATGCCCTTTACAAGCCACAACAGACACTCGTTTGGAGGACAATTTTGGCAAATTTTTAGGCCACCCTTGTACTATTAGTGGCTTCATTTCACCTGTATCTTTCACTAATTTTCTAAATAGAGTTGATCAAAATCAAAAAATATTGTGGTGAATACTTAACTTGTTTCTTGGTTAATTATTTTGGAAACCTGTGCATTTACAAATCGTCAATTCTTGCTTCATTAGCAATTTAGTTTTCAATTCCATTAGTTTAAGATAGCGTTTGGTTTGTCCAAATAATTTGAAGTAGAAATGAAATGATTATTTCTTAATCCCTAACTAGCCTCTCTCTCGATCTCTTTTATATCGTCGGGCGTCATCATTAGATTTCATTTCCTTATGTGATATCTTTCGAAATTACAGCTCGGCTATTTTGTCCTCGTTGTAATCCTATTGTGTAACGTTGCTCTGCGGCCATTCGACTAATTGAAGGATAATTTAGTAATTTTATTTTTTTGTGTTGAACTTGTAATAGTAACAATGTCATCGTGCATTCCTTCATTAATACAATTAGCAACAAGATTTGGTAATCGAGGTAAATGAAGGACTGAACTATTACTTACAGTTTTATGATATTTAGAATCAAATTAAATCATGAAAATTTTAAAACCAAATCAAATCGAATTAATAAAATGCAGTTTGGTTTAGTTTTGAACTACAATTTTTAAAAATTGTGCCTTCATTCACAATATAATCACAGAATACTATTTACAACCTATGAAATGTTTAGAATTAGTTTTACCAAGAACATTCATGTGGAAAGTATTTAGTTATAACTTATGTATAATGTATATATATATTTAGATAGTGCAATTCAGTTCCAAACCGGATTGAAAGCTATAAAACTAAAGGTTGAATTTTGAAATATAGTTCATTTATTTTAAAAATCAAAACCAAATCGTTTGTTGAGAAAATCAAATCAAACCGTGCGGTTTAATCAGAATTAAACAAGTTCGCAATTTTTTTTCATTTTTTGCTCAAGCCTATGTGGGAAGGAGTAGAGTGTAATTCTCAAATATCTGAGGGATTAAAATGCAAATCTTAGGAGATGTGCATGTAATTTACCCAAAAATATTCCCCCTTTCATTGTTAAAACAGAAAAGAATTCATTGAATGAAATGAGAAACTGACTTAAAATGGGAAAATTTCTTCAATTCGCTTATTTCCACAAGTCACAATTTTCCATTTGGGGTGGACAAGTGATGTCTTGTTTGGACTAAAACTGACTAAAAATAGGAAAAAAATTCCAAATACATAAATGTGAGATAAAATAAAAGACATAAAAACATTACGAGTTGAAAATATTAGCGGTTGACCCGTGCAATGTATGTGCTATTTTTTTTATAAAAAATATTTGATAGTACAATGTTATTATAAAAGAATAATTTTAATTTTAATTTGAAGTATGATTTTAATTATTTATTTTGATAACATTAGCTTTATCGTTCTATAAAATTATTACTTGAATAGTTATATACATTAATTTTAGTTAAATTATTTGTGTATTTTGATAATTTTAGTTCTATCATATTATAAATGCGTAATTATCATATAATAATTTTGTATGATATATGTTAAATTATAAAATAGTAAAATGAATACTCATTTTTGTTAGGTTTTTGTTATTGGCAATCTCATTTGACAAAATTCATTTAAGTTGTAATTTTATTCAATCATTTATTTCAGTGAGACTATGAGTTTTTAGATATGAATCCAACCTGAATTGTGCCTATGCAGAGCAATTTGTGATCTTAATCCTATCATGTTTGCCACTTCGCTGACCATGTCGGGGATCGAGCTACCTAGTTAGCTCGCGGGGGTCCAGGGGGCACCCCCCATGTGGTCGAAGTTGCTTGTCCGCTCAAGCAGCCATTTGTGTGCTCGAGCGAAGAATCTTTAGTTCCAGAAGTTTGAACTGTCTACAAAAGCAATATATTTTTTCAAAATATCCCTAACATAGCTTTAAAGTAATAATATGAAGAAAGTCTCTACCTAAATCCATAATATAGAATTGATATTAGGGATAGAAAAATGCATGGGAAAATAAAGAAGAAAAAAAAGAGAGGCAATTTAGCATTAAAAAAAAAAAAATCCTAATACCCTTCAAAGAATTAAGAAGAAAAAAGTGAAACCCAAAATTGGTATTAGGCTCGTGGATTATCTTTATTTAAGATGAAAAATATATGGAAAAAAAATATTTGTCAAATAGAGTTCATATAAAATAGATAAAATTAGTATAATTTAAATTAGGTTTGAATTTGTGTAGAACTCTATATGTAATCTATTTATCTATCTATATCTATACTATCTATATAAGCAAATGTAGTGGAGTATGAGAATTCTCCAAACTCTTAATACTAAATTCTTATGGATTCTCTTTCTTACGTGTCACCTCTCAAGTCTCCCCTCCCACTTTTCCTAATTTTTAATCATTTGTCAATTATCAAAATCTCAAAAACCAACAAGACTATATATATTTAAATAAAATGATAACTATTTAGATATGAACAACAAATATTTAGATATGAATAACAAAGAGGTAGAGATAAAAATATAAAAAAATAAAATAAAAAAATATTACGAGTCAAATAATTTTTAAAATAAAAAGATAATTGTCACGTCCCATATTTTATTACTCGGATAAAATTACCAATATTTATTAATTAAGTACATTTACAAATGACAATTCATCGTTTGATGAAATGATGAATAACTAAATATACATGTTCCATCTCGTTATACAACAGTGACATTTACATACAAATAAAAGAAATGTCCTGAGGCTTACAATAAAAGAAAGGACATTACTCTTTACAAAAAAAAAAAAAAAAAATAAAAAAAAAAAATAACACTCAGCCAAACAAACAAATGAAGTAGTACAATCCATCACTACATCACACTTATGAAATGGTAAAACCCATTGTTTGATCTTCAAATCCGAAAAGCATTTCCTGTACACATGTACAGGTAGGGGGTGAGCAACCACTAGCTCACCAAACAATCTCATATTATAACATTAGAAAATATGCAGGTACAAAGATACTCATACATATATGTGAAATCGTACCATGTCAAAAAACCATATGATTTTATTACATAATCTCTTAAATCCAATTTATTTAATTAACCACAATAAGTTAACTTAAATAAATAAACATGCTTCTGTTTGTGTCAATTTCCGACTACACTGCCAAACTAGTACATAGCTGGAGAGCACCAACATAATAGATTAAGCCCGAACGACCTGCAATAGAAAGAAGAGATTCCGGTGGTGGTTCGTCCACCCGGGGGTACTCCGATGGTCAAGTCAGTTATCTCTCAAAGATAGCAAAAGTGCTTAATTCAATTATTCAGAACACAAAAAGCGTACCTTAGACCCATGGGGGTGCCTCTCTTTTATAGCCAACACAAACCTAGTCCCAATAGAAGCCTAGCTTCAATGGACTTAGGATTACTGCTAATCTTGGACTCCCAGTAGGATTGGGATAAACTCTCTAAGAGTTTTCTTTTTACCCAAACTGAAGTCCTCTCTCATTCTAGGACTCTTGTCCCTTATCCGCTTATCCCGGATTCCGGTTTCTTCGCAGATAACCTCGGCCTAGCCGAGATCATCTCGGTGTCATGACCAGGACACGTGGCACCTCGGCTGGCACTTCGGTGACACCTCGGCCATGTGTTGTCATTTAAAAATTATGTTCCCACAACTGCCCCCTAGGTTCTATTACCTCGGCATCTTGAGGTGATGGAACCTATATCATTCCTTCATTTTGGCACGTCGGCTAATCTCGCTTTATCATTCATTGCTGAAGTCATAACTTTATCGTTTTAATACGATCAAGACCTACAGTCTGCTTTTATCAATGTTCTGGAACCAACAACCAAGTTCGTTTAAGCCGAGATCGTCCCCTTAGCCGAGGTTTCTGCTTCATTATATTGAGAACTCCAAGAGTTTCAACACGCGTATTAGCTGTCACGCATTGCAATTCAACCGTTTTTGCTACGCGTCCCTCCCTCACTGGACCGTGTCCGATACGTGCCACTAAGTCACCTTGCGCCTGCATGCGCCGTCTAACAAACAAATTGTTTGAGGCACATCAATTGCGTTTTGCCGCCTCTTCGCCTTTTTTTTGACAAAACTTCTTCCCTCTCTCCTCGTCTTCTCACCTCTTCATCATCACTTTTGCGAAAAAACCCTCTCTCTCTCTCTTACTTTCTCAAATCCGCCATTGTCTCAAGTTCGCAAGCTCTGTGATCGCTTCCAGTCTTCTCCTCCGGCGAAGCTTTCACCGCTCTGTCGTTTTGCTGTTGTCGTCTGACTTCGGCGAACTCAACGCCAGCTTCATTTTTCTTCGGTGATTTACTTATTCCTCCTTTATTAGTCTGTGTTTCTCTTTAAAAAGCTTTCATTACTCGTCGCCATTGCTATTTTGTTCAAGTTCTTGATTGTGAATCACGTATCTGAGCACATTTCTTTTATGATTTCGCTTTTGCCCAGTTCGTTTCTTGAATACACACTGTTCACCCATTTGTTCACTTTTGCCACTATTCTTGGTAGTTTATCACTGTTCTTGACTCTGAATTATTGCCCTTGTTTATGTTTTCTGTGTTTTCTCCAGATACTTGCCTTCAATCTTTGTTTGCCTAGACTTAGGTTTGGGATTCGTTGTAGAACTTACTGTCTTTAGGAAAAACTAAAACACACTTCATTTAGATCCTCAGAATTTCTCTCCTCATCCTTCTTCGAGGTTTTGCCGAGGTCACTCCAACCTTTCATAAAACACACTTTTTCTGAAATCCCACATTCCCCCCAAGCCGATATCATGGGTATGTGGAGGCATAGGGTGGACACCCCAACTAAATTAGAGTATTTGAGGCAGGAGTTTTCCATTCCAGTCGACATCCATTTGAGGTTGGCTGGGGAGGACGACTCCATTATGCCTACTGTTGACTCCATGCCCTTCCTAGTCGTCGCCTTTATTGAATGTGGACTTAGGCTTCTATTAAACATCCTTTTCCGAGAAGTCCTCCACTATTACAAATTAAACCCGATACAGCTTGCCATAAACTCTTACCGAGTTATAAATGTTATAATTGCCTTAGCACGCCGAGAAAAAGCTAGGGTAACCTTAGCTGATATTCAATACTACTATACCATGTGCGGCCTTAAGTTA